CCTTTTTCTTGCCTTCGATAATGTCCATTATTCTTATGTTTCCGCTCCTGGTGGCATCAGCTAGTGCTTGTGTTTCTCTTTCATTATTTTTCATTCTTCCATTTCTCTCTTCTTCCTTCTGATTTATTTCTAAATTTCTGTCTTCAATATCACTGATCCTTTCCTCCATAGTTTGACTTGATTTTCCAAGCCTGCTATTTCATTTTTCATCTCTTTCAGTGTGTTCGTCATCTCTAGAAGTTCTATTTGGTTCTTTTTGAGAGTTTCAATCTCCTTGCTCTGCTGATCTTTTTTTTTTTTTAATTCCTGAAATTGTTGATATGAATTATTTTGCATCTCCTGAAGTCTGTCACTTAAGTTGCATATTTCTATGTCTGTAAGCTTATTTTCTCAAGATTTTTCTCTGTTTTTCTGAGATGCCTTGTCACCTTGGTTGTTCATGGTATTTAATGGATTACTCTGCCTGTGCATTAATGGAAGTGTACTCTGCCTTTTTTCCAGAATGAAGGTTTATTATATTAAAGGTCTCTCTTTAGCCTGCTGCAAAGAAGGCATTTTTCTTTCAGTTTCCAGTAGGTGGCATCTAAGCCTCTTGGATCCCTGCTTTATATAAAGCCTAAATAATGCCTTTTTAAATTTTCTTGTAGCTATTTAATCACGCTCGCTACCCTCAGTTTCAGTCCCTGTCAGTGTCAGCGACAGTCTTGGCAGCGTTTGCTCAGATTCCTTTGTGGCTCCGCAGTGATCAATCTTGGAGGGTATGGGGGGAAGAGGCCCTCTGGGTTGGGAGTTGAGAGCTGTGGTTGAGCCTTGGATTTTCAGCCTTGGCTGGTAAAAATCAGCTGTTGTTTCTCTGTGGTCCCGTCCTGCTTCTCTGCTTTCTGCTGCTGGCAGGCTGTGGGGAGCTCACAGCTTTCCCAGGCAGGGCTGTTCAGGGAACTCGCCACTCTTTCTCCTTTCCCCCTCCTCCTACAGGGAGCTGCGGGCTGTGAAAGGCAACTTCTTTATTTCTTCCAGTCCACCGCCTGACACCTGGGGTTCTGATCTGTGGTAGCTTTTATGCACAGATCCCACGCTCAGACTTGCTCGTGTTCAGTTTTAGATGTTCACCTTATTGTTGTTTCAAGGGGAGAGATCTGAGGACGTCTCTCACTCCGCCACGTTTTTCACATTAGCCATAATTTTTCTTCTTAAAGGAGTTCCTCCAAAATTTCCTCTAATACTGACTTGGTGTTGACAAATTCCTTTAGCTTATTTTAGTCTGGGTAGCTCTTTATCTGTCCTTCAACTCTAAATGATGGCTGTCCTGGGTAAAGTATTCTTGGTTGTAGATCCTGGGTTTTCATCACTTTGAATATTTGCGCCAAGCCCTTCTGTCCTGCAAAGTTTCTTTTGAGAAATCACCTGCCAGTCTTATTGGTGCTCCCTTGTAGATAACTTTTCTCTGCTTTTCTCTTGCTGCTTTCAAGACTCTCTCTTTGTATTTAACCTTTGGCATTTTAATTATGATGTGTCTTGGTGTGAGCCTCTTTGGGTTCATCTTTTTTGGGACTCTGAGCTTCTTGGGGTTGTATGTCTCTTTCCTTCACCAGGTTGGGGAAGTTTTCCATCATTATTTCGTCAAATAGATTTTCAACTTCTTGCTCTTCTTCTCCTTCTGGTACCTCTATGATGCAAATGTTACATTTGATGTTATCCCATAAACTCCTTATGTTATCTTCATTATTTTGGATTTTATTTTTCTTGTTGCTGTTCTGATTGGTTGACCTCGGCTTCCCCATCCTCTGTATTGGTGATTTGATCTTCTGCTTCCTCCACTCTGTTGATTCCCTCTGATATAATCTTCATCTCAGATATTGTATTTTTCATTTCTGACTAGTTCCCTTTTATAATTTTCATCTTCATTTTTATATATTTTATCTTTGTTAAAGTTCTCACTGAGTTCATCTACTCTTCCCCTAAGTTCCTTGTGCATCCTTATAACTAGTGTTTTGAACTCTGCATCTAATATGTTGCTTATCTCCATTTTGGTGAATTCTTTTTCTTACGCTTTATTCTCTTGTTTCAAGTGGGACATGTTTTTTTTTTTTTTGTTTTCCCATTTTGATTGCCTCTCTGTTTGTTTCTATGTATTAGGTAGGGTTCCTAAGTCTCCCAGTCTTAGTAGAGTGACTTTATGTAGTAGGTGTCCTGTGGGGCCCCTTGGCATAGACCTGAGAGGTGTCCAGCTGGAGACCAAGTTCAGTCACAGCCTGTGCACTCCAGGGCCACCTGGTAAGAGTCACCAAGTAATCCACATATGGCTAACACCCATGCCGGTCTTATTGGTGCCTCAAAGAGTCAAGTCTAAAACCAAGGCTGGCTGCACTAGTGCAGGGTTTGGGGCTACTCAGCAAGATGTATAGGGCATGCTGAGGCCAGATGCTGTTTCTGTGGGTTTTGTGAGCCTTTGAGAGATTTTATGAAAGTTGCAGCAGGAGCCAAGACAGCCTGTTGTATGGAATAAAATCACTCGAAGTGGCTGGGGTGGGTCCACAAGTTGGGAGAGGTGGGGTCTCAGGGAATCTCCTGAGCGGAGCCACCTGTGTTATCCAGGTTGTCAGCGTTTGCAGGCTGAGAGGGAGGAGGGCTTAACAAAGAAATAATGGCTTCTGCCTGCACCTGTGTCCTGGAGCAAAGCGCCCCTCCAGTCTTTGCCTTGAAGCCTGACAGCTCAGCACCTCCTCATATGTCCCTGGCGCCCCTTGATCAACTGCCCCAATGCTGGAGCTCTGAGTAAGCGAGTCCGTCAGAGAATAAGGCTGGGCATAGGCCCTTTAAGAGGAAGGTTTCCGCTTCCTGCAGCCCTCCATCTCACTCAGCCGCCATCTCAACTGGTTTTCACAGCCAGAGGTTGTGAGGACTTCTCTTCCTGGCACTGAAACCCTGAGCTGGGGAGCCCAGTATGCTCCTGGACCCCTTGCTCCTCAGGTTGAGGAGGGGGCTCTCAGCCAAGATGCCCTCCTGATTGCCACTCGCAGTTGTGGGACTAGGCTGTTCCGCATCTCCACCCCACCTACTGTTTTGAGGCGACCTGTTTGTTATTTAAGGTGACCTAGTTACAGGACTTCTGTTCAGCCAGACCTCTGGTGACTCCGCATATTGATTGCTCTGTAGTTTTGTTATAATTTTGGTGTGGTCGCTAGATGGCCTTTACCTTCTACGCATCTTGAATTTCTGCATATTGATTTTAGAAGGCTAAGCACATTCTGACATAATACTCTTTGTAGAAATATTGTCACTATTTAGAGTCATTTCTTCTAAGTCATAAAATGGTACCTGCATGTCCTACAGGTCCAGATTTACTTTAGAAACTTAAATAACTCCCAAGGTTTGGTTTGCATGCTCAAAAGAACTGGTTTAAAACTGTAGAAACGAAGAGAAAACCATGATAAATTGCCTTTTTTCTTCATTAATGTGTACCTCAAGAGATAGAATATATAGTCTATAATCTTGGGGTTGAGGCTATTTTCTTACCAATTGGTTTTGCTTTTTAGGACCCCCCTGGGTCGTGCAAGAGCATGGCTTCGCTTAGCCCTCATGCAAAAAAAGATGGCTGATTACCTTCGTTGCTTAATTATTCAAAGGGATCTCTTGAGGTTAGTACCATTAGATCATGTTCATTTTCATTTTTCATTTTATTTATAGCCTGTTCTCCAAAAAGGATTGAAGATGTAGTACAAAAGGATTTATAAAATAAAAGGAGGAACAAATGAGTGAGAACAGTGATGGGGACATAACATGGATCAGGAACTAGCCTAAAAAATGAGAACCATAAGCTTTTTATCATCTGATAAGGGAGAAATTTATGTTATATTTCTAAGTTAGTTTCATTTTTGTTAAGCCTAACATACATTTTTTTCTAAATTACAGTTAATTCTGAATAAAAATTTGTAGTGGAATTTGGGGCTTTAATTCAAGAGGTGTCTTTTGAGATCTTGAACATTCACAAACTACTGCTTCAACTGTGTTGTGGGCACTTTTTAAACCATCAGTTTAAATCAAATACCAGATGGTTAAGGCAGACTTTCAAAGCAAGGTAATCATTTCTTAAAGGGAGGGTGGCCATGGTAGTCCCTCCATCCACTCTTGTTCTTTTATTAGAGTACTTTTCTTATGTTCTGGAGAATTTGGTGGTTTTTGGTTTACTTTTGACTCCAGTCTCATTTGTCAAATGAGAATGACTATAGTTTAAGCTCCTGTAATTTCTCAATAATATTCTGAAGGCTAATTAAAATGATTAAGTAATATACATGGGACTTCCTGAGGAAGTCATGAGACATTGCTAACTAGTTCTTTAAACTGTCAAGTATTAGTTTTTAAACTATTCAGTCTCTTTCACAAGTCTCTTATTTGAACATTTTTTAGACTATAGATACCCGTGTCTTTTATTGATGATTTTCTACTAAGAACACTTGCAATACACATATCAAATGCACTGACTTGAACATGGGTTTTGAAATGTTTCATATGTTCATTTCCTCACCTTAGTCTGTATCCCAAGGGTCTTAATAAATCCTAGAATTGAAAATTCAGCTCTAATAAGTATTATAATCAGAGCAGCAACAGTTACTATGTCTCTGAAAGTCACAAACATTCTGGCCTCAGTGATGCCTCTTTTTCTTTGGATCTCTCTTTGCATCTCTTTTCTCTCATTCAAAATTCCTTTTCTTTTATCTCCTTTAGTCTCTGTCTTTTATGTTTTCTGTGTAAACATTTAAATTTCAAAATTTTTAAGCTATTCACATATAGAAAGGCTAATTTGAAGATACTTGATTTATATTGGTTCTGTGTTTGTGATAAGGTGGTGAGATTTTAAATTTCAGTTTTTGAAATTTATGACTTAAGGTTATTATTTTAATTTTTACAGTGAATTCTATGAGTATCATGCACTGATGATGGAAGAAGAAGGAGCAGTAATTGTTGGGCTGTTGGTTGGCCTAAATGTGATAGATGCTAATCTGTGTGTAAAGGGAGAGGATTTAGACTCACAGGTAAGTGAAAGTTACTAGTACCAAATACAGAGTGCTTTCAGTTTGCACTGTTCCTCTTTGATGCAAGTATTACTCTAAGTTGTAAAAAGTACTGTTATACAGTAAAGAAAAATTAATGAAATTCGGTTGCATATTAAAGGTACTTATGATATTTCTCCCCTTTAAATAAAAATAACTTTATTTAATTCAGGTCGGAGTGATTGATTTTTCCATGTATTTAAAGAATGAAGAAGATATTGGAAATAAAGAAAGGTATGATTTTTCATAAGTTATTTCACAGGTTGTATTTGTTTTATACAGCTCTTTACAAATCATTATGAGGTCCATCTATTAACAATGTGGTTTTTATTTCCTTTATTTGTGTGTAATTCCTGCTTTGTTTAATTTTCACTTCCATTTACAAGCTTTACAAAGCAAAAACCACTTAGAAAGAGGGTTTCAGATGAAGTACGGCTTCAGTCATATCTGTAGTTACTGAGATCCATTTTAATAGTTAGCTGTGTTTTTTTCCTTTTTTTAAAAATTAATTTATTTTTTAAATAATTTAAAAATTTTTCAGTTCCAGTTGGCATACAATATTACATTAGTTTCAGGTGTACAACATGGCGCTTAGACATTTATATAACTTAAGAAGCAATCATTTCAATAAATCTAGAACCCATCTGTCACCATACATAGTTATTAGAATATTATTGACTGTATTCTTTATGCTATACTTTACATCCCCATGACTATTTTGTAACTACCTATTTGTATTTCTTAATCCCTTTCCCTTTTTCACCCACCCTCCTAGTTAGCTGTGTTTTGCCATAAAAGGGATGAAAACTTATTATTTACCAGATTATATATGCTGGTTTATTTCAAGATCTAATTATGTTTAAAATATACTTATTCCTACTACTAAAAAGAAAGGATAATTATGTGATGGAGGTGCTAATTATTGCTGTAATAGCAATCACATCATAATATATAAATATCAAGTTAACATGTTATATGCTTTAAGTTTGCAGTGTTATATGTCAAATATGTTTTTTAAAAATCATACTGATAAAAATTTAAATATACTAATGGTACTGTTAAGTCTAGTATTAACAAGTAATTTATTTAAGAAAGCCTATAGTTATTTAGTACGCAGCTTACTGCTATATGATTGTATTCTTTAATTTTATTTTAAAGGCAAGGCAATGTTGTTTTACCATTATGGTTTTACAGCAGTTTTAGATGATTTAGACATTATTTTTGGCACCCAATAAATACATTTCCAACTAACACAAAACTCCTTTTCCCCCCTTATAGGAATGTTCAAATTACTGCCATATTAGACCAGAAGAATTATGTTGAAGAATTAAATAGACAACTGAAGTAAGTATTATAGATACTTGGATACTTAGTAGATTTTTGATTGTTGTCTTAGAGTTCCCTCCTTCATGTCAGCTTAACCCTATTCTTTTTATGCATATTTGAGAAAGGGTTGAGGGATTAGAGTGGAAACTAAGAATATAGAGAATTATTGGAGATAATTCATTTTTAGTAGAAAATGAGTCAGATTTTTAAATAGAATCTTGGGAGAATTTAAAAATAGAATTTCAAACTTATCCCTGTACCCTTGAGAGAAAAGGCTAGATAGAGTAGAAGTTTCTATATTAATGAGATATATTAATTTTTTGGTACAATCTTCAAAATCCAATGTGTATTTTACACTTACATCACATTTCAATTTAGACTAGTCACCTTGTAAGTGATTATTAGTAGCCACATGCAGCTTATGGCCACCATACTATATAACACAGGTATAGTGAGTAATATTTGTACATAGTTAGAAATGGACTGTTCTTAATTAAAATGAATAATTAGCAAAATTATTCTGGATAATAGGATTAGGAATAATTTTTATTTAAACGCTTCTGTATTTTCTGAATTTCACTCAATAAACATGTTTTACAGTCACGAAATACAATTAAACAATTTCCCCCTGTAGAATAAGAAACTAATAAGCTGCATTTGGCTTTCTTTAAGTTGGGAGAGGTAGGAAAGATCTTATATCAGTGTTTTTTCCCCCTAAGTCATGAAATTTTAATAATAGATATCATGGGAAAAATATGTGTATATATGTGTATTTCGTAATTTGTATTTCTGAGATTTTCTAAGAGCAAACTCGTATTGCTTATTTAATTTAAAACTTTTATTCAATTTTTGGGAATAGGTAATATATTCCCATGGTTCGAACTTCAAAAAGAACATTAAATGAAAAGTCTTCCTCTTCCCTGATCTCCAACCATCTGGTTTCTCTCTTGGGGAGTAATTAATACACTAGGTTCTGATGTGTGCCTCCAAGGTACTTGATGCAAATAGACAAGAACATGCATATATTTTCTTATATTTCTCACCTTCCCCTAGTTCTTTACACTTAAGGTACATTTTTTACACTACTCTGTACTTTACAATTTTACTCAGCAGTTTATCTTAGAGTCTATTTTATTCACTTCAAAAGAGCATTCTCTTTTAAATTATGGATGTGTGACTCACAGCAATACTAGTGCCTTTTGTATATTTTATATATTAAAAATGTTTCATTGTTTTTCTAATTAGAAAGTAGTTCTTGTACATTTAGAATATTTTGAAAGTATAGAACACAGATATAGAAAAAAATAGAACTTACCTATTATCCCTCACTTGAAGAGGGTTTTCAAAAGTGCTTTTTTGATTATTTTCTTGATTCTCACATAAAGGTACGGTGCATATTATGGTCTGATTTTATAGATAAAGAAACCAAAGCTCAGAGAGGTTTTAAAACTTTCAAGATGACACAGAAAGAAGAAAAGCAAGGACTTTAACCTTGGTCTTAGATTCTTAGTTTTGTACTTGTTGTATCTCATCATCAGAATATCCTGGTGCTGTTTGTGAAAAACTCAAGTTGTTCACCTAAGAATGATTATACTTAAATGATTTAACATAAATGGAAAAACATTTTTCTTGTTTCACCAGTAAAACTAAAATGCTTAAAATTGTTTCTGAGGTTGGTATAAAATTTGTTCTATTATAAGTTTTACTGTAATGTATACAGCATATTACATTACAGAAAGTTTGAGATAAAATCAAGCAGGCCTTGAAAATCAGACTCAATAAAATGTACAGTAATGTCTAGTCTTGATTGACTTAAACAAAAATTAAACAAAATGTGTTCATGTGATATTGTCACGGCATTCTCAAATGGAGAGATGGGACACTGAGGCTATAAGCAGGAAGCAGCGCTTATTGATGCCCGCACCAGCTCAGGGGACTCTTATCCAGAAGCTGAGCTCCGATTGTAACATAACAGGCAGTTTTATACAGTCTTGTCATTCCTACACAGCTACAGATGTAAGGAAGAACATTAATTGGTTGGCAAGCTATGAAAAATCTGATGTTAGCCAGAGAGTCCTTGAGGTGGGGGGAGGGCAGTCAGGCACAAACTCGTTTGAGCAGAAATGGTCAGGCAGGATCAGCCTGCCACAGTATAACCTCACTTTTAACTGTACCCTTGAAAGATGGGGTGTTTGCTTAGCTCTAGGCTGACTGGGTACCTGATGTTGGGTATTGCTTATTCATCTTTCTCAAACATGGGTGACTTTGGAGCTCTTTAAAGCTTCATTAAGCCACTTAATTATAAAGTGGATATTTAAAGCTCATCCTTTAAAACATAAATTTAGTTTTAACAGTATTTAGTAATCTTTGTGTGGAATTTCCATTCTCAAATATTATAGGTTAGATGTAAGGAGGACCCGAAGAATATAAAAAATAATCATCAAATGAAATTTTAATAGAAATATTGATTCTTTAGCTATAGTCTTTATTGCTGGCCTAGACAAATCAAGTTTCCCAACTTAATGAAATTTCTCACATGCAAAAATTCAAACAGGGCGGTTGGTGAATGTCCGTCAACATAATGAGTCCAGGATAACATACTTTTTTTTACTTTTGTGAGTTTGTGTGATTTTGAATGAGTTTTTTCTTTATTAATTTCAGCAGCACAGTCAGCAGTCTCCATTCAAGAGTTGACTCATTAGAAAAGTCAAATACAAAGCTGATTGAAGAGGTATTGTCACCCAGCCATGGATAATTGTTTTTCACAGACCTAGTATTTGTGATCTTTTTTCATTTTCATTATGAATGCATTAAGTATACATATACACACACTTATAGACATTTTTATCATTTGATAGACTACTTGTAATATAGTTGGAATTGAGAAGTTCAAGAGAAATCATATTCTCAGGTGAATCTATGAATTGTTTCGAGATACTCAACTTATAGAAATGTGCCTCAAAGATGAAACACATACAAACTCTTCTGTAAATTAACTGTGATTATCATTTTTATATCTGGATGACCTGTATTTAGATAGTAAAATCACCTATAGTTAGAAATTCCTGTCAAAATGATACTGTCTCTCGTTCTGCTATTCAGATTGCCTTTCTTTGCAAGCATGATCATATTCACCCTTTCTCCACCCTCCCATATGTAAAACTTATCCTATGTGTTCCAGTTTCCTGTATTGTAAAAGTGGCTGTCTGATAGTCCCAGAACCAGAAATTTATCTCCGCTCTCTTTTTAATATTATTTGCAAAGCTGATTTTAGATTTTTTTTTTTTAGTCTATCAAACCACAGAATTTTTCTTTCTATTTTTAGAATTAGTAGAGAAAGACATTTGTTATTAGTGCTACAAACCCAATTTTCTATATTAATTAATATGAATATTTCTTTTAAAACTCACCTAATTTTTTTCAGACCAGGGAACACATGATCGTTTGCATGACTGCAGTTAATAATTCATCTGTATTTTGATAGTTTGGGATCATTTGAAAGTTTGATAGAGTGGGACCCTTAAAGAGAATTGCTCACTGGTTTGTGCCTCTTCTTGGCCTTAGGCACACTGTGAAGCTCAAGTTTTATTCTAGACAAAGAGTTCAGAAATTTATTTGCAAGCCAACATTAGGGAGTAGTCTTTGCTTTCTTTTCCTAGGCTTCTTTTCATTCTGGGCCTCAGAGCCAAAGCTGCTTAGTTATTTATGTTTCTCTGATGAAGATAGCTGTCTCATATTTGTGATGGTCACTCAGTGTACCCAGGTTCCACAGGATGTCCTTCCTATTTGGTTATCATGAATGTCTGTTAGAGTTTCAATGATAACATAGCCTTTTTTTCTTATTGATGTTTCTATCTTTACACAAATCTTTATAGTCATATTGTTTAATGCATAATTCTTTATATGCTTATTTTGGCACTTTGTATTCAGGACACATTATTAAGTTAGATAAACGTAATAATATATTTCGACTAACAAAAAGAAATAGAAATCAGTGTAATTTCTTTAATTAGTATCTTAGGGTAATAGGAACACATTTTTCTTGTGAAAGTTTTTGTAGGTATGAGAGACATTTTACTAGTTTTAGGATTTTATTTTCTATTTGTAGTCATGAATGTAACCTGTAAAGAAAGTATAAAGTTGATAAAATCTTTTTTTCTTACCGCTGTTTCATAATTTTCAGTTAGCAATAGCAAAGAATAATATTATTAAACTCCAAGAGGAAAATCATCAATTACGAAGTGAAAATAAATTGATTTTAATGAAAACACAGCAGCAACTAGAAGTAAGTATACACTGATTACAGGCTGTATTGTGTCAGATTGTTTTGGGGACTCTTGTGGAGGCTTGGTATTTCTATGCTATATTAATAGTAGATATTATAGAATAAAAAGTTTTGTTTTCTTCCTAGGTTACCAAAGTGGATGTGGAAACTGAGCTTCAAACATATAAGCATTCTCGGCAGGGGCTAGATGAAATGTACAATGAAGCCAGAAGGCAGCTTCGAGATGAATCTCAGTTACGACAGGTAGGTTGCATTAAAGTTATATGAACTAATAATGATAATTAATAATAATAAATTTACCCTTAAGCAAGCACCACTTAAATCTTTTTCAGCCTTGTTAGTAATTCTTTTCTTGCTTGGGGCATGTTTGCCCTCGCTAATGTCAGAGACCAGTCAGAGAGGGAGGACCAGAGCAGCTCAGAATGAGCCAGTTCTTACTGTGACAAGCGTGCGTGCGCTCCCAACAAGTCCCGGGGCTCCCAAGGTAGGGCTGCTCCGACTAGGGCAGCCTACCTCCCGGCCAAAAAGGGTACCCGACTCGTCTTCTGGAGTGTCTAGCCCGGTGCCTCCTCCTCGGTGACCCCGAGCCCCAGGTCCCGGAGCAGTACGAAGCTCCCTTACATGTCCATTGACAGGAGAGCCCATGCTCGAGAAAGAGTCAGCGGGTGAGTGGTAGTAGGACAGACTGTGTCCGGCTGGGGAGGCGTTGCTGCCCCCGGGAAGAGGACGCCTTGTAGTTGGCCTCGAAGCCAGAGAACTTCACGGTGGTGGTTAGTTAAAGCTGGGGCGAGGGGCTGAGGGACGGAGGCAGGAGCCATGGGCCAGAGCCGGGTAGGAAGGAGCTCGGTCACTGCTTGCTCACGCTGCCGCTGGCTCTGTCTTCACTGCTTGGCTGCTTGCTACAGATATGTTTGGAGAACGAGGAGCCGCAGCCACTGCTTTTATAACAGCATTTTTATGAATGAGACCAAAGCCGTCACGGCGCAACCATTGAGGCACTGGAGGGGTGGCCCACAAGCCTGGATACCTCCGTGGCCTCCTTGCGGCCTCTGCTGCCCTCGCAGCCCCCTGTCCACCCTCTCGTGTTTCTTTGTCTTGTGAGCATTTACCAATCTGAGTCTTAAGGGTGTTGCAGACCTCCAAGGATGAGGGACTGCAGGGATGGCTTCCCCCACGACCGCAGCGACCAGCGTGGAAGCCTGATGCAAACCTAATGTGGACATCCTGTGAAAAGAAGGGAGGGATTGGCGGGAACTGCTTGTGGGTTGCAGCCAACACCCAGGGTGAGGGCGGGGGCGGGGGCGGGGGCGCCTTGGCCAGGGAAGGGAGGCAGGAAAGGAACAGAATGTGATTCGCACCTGGTTCGATGGGGACCCTTGTTCCCGCGATGGGGGTAATTGGGTGGGGGCACGTTTTTACCAGTATACAGAAACCAAGGAACAGTTCTGAGACTCGGGTATAGAAGAACAGGTATACAGCCCCCCCGAGGGTTTAAGCCTCAGCTGCGAAGGAATGCGCCTCCCTCTGTGAAGGAATGTGCCTCCGCCCATTTCCAATTCTAGCAGATTCTGTGCAAACTGAGGAAGCAGACCCTCACGCTCTCGCCTCGAGCCCCGGCCTCGAGCAATACTAGGACTATTATTGCGTTTGGAAGCAGAAAGTCGAGGGATCCAAAATAAGAGGAAATCATAACCGACTTTATCTACGATGCTAGGTGTTTTCGATTCATTTGTTTTGTTTGTGTTTAAGGAAAAAGGCGCATTTTTTCTCGATCATATATGGGGATATTAGCGTTACTGTCAGATCCCTGAGACACTAGCCAATTCTCACTTCATAATCCCCTCAACTTTATGCTCCCATTTGTATCATTGTTTTTTAAACTATTACAATCTGTGAAATGAGTGAATTGTGATCATTACAAAAAATTAAATAGAATGATGTTTTCAAATGTTAGTAGAATCATTTAAAATTAACTTATTTTTTACCCTTTAAAATTGTGAAATATACCTACAGAAAAATATAAATGGATTATAATGTAAATACCTGTGTAACTCCCACTCAGATCAGGAAGAAAGTATTGCCAGACTTTTCATCCCTTTTGCTGTTCATGTTTAATATTGGAAAGTTCTTTTCCCTCCTGATGCAAAATTCTTTACAGGAAGAAATTAAAACAGCAAAATGGGATTTTTGACTTATCTTCGGCTTTTATTTGTACAGAGTGCTTCATTTTTTTTTTTTTTTTTTTGCTTTAGGAAAATTATACTGCGTTTATAAGCCATTAACATACTTCATTATCAAACCAGCAGAATAATGATAACATAATTTAGAAAACGCTTTCACTTTAGCAAAGTATGCATTTGAAAATATTTAGAATGTTGTTAGAGGGTGTGGTTGATTGCTTTTAGTGGGGCTTATAACTCAAAGAGTAGTCTACATATTGAATAGAAACTCTTTCTTTGTCTCATTATTAACTGTTGTGTATCTGATTTTGACATCCTGAAGTGACATGTGAATTGATATGTTGAAATTGTAGGATGTGGAAAATGAGCTAGCTGTACAAGTTAGTATGAAACATGAGATTGAACTTGCCATGAAATTGTTGGAGAAAGATATCCATGAGAAACAAGATACCCTGATAGGCCTTCGACAACAGCTAGAGGAAGTTAAAGCAATTAATATAGAGATGTATCAAAAATTGCAGGTAAGGAACATTCTTAAATTCTTGTAATTCCTTGTTATATAAATTGAAAGTGAATATTTGTATAAACAAATTTTTAAGAGATGAACCTATTTTAGCTGTCATATTGGTAATAAAAAAGCAGTGACTTTTTTTTTCTAAATGGAAGCTTAAAAAATGTAGCAATGAAAAAGGTATCAAAGAACAAACAAAATCACTTATCTGAATTTGTTAATGCTGATAGTTTAACAGTATAAAGATTAAATATTCGGGGAACACTCAGGCTAAACATGCAAGATATTTTTGTGAACTTCTTTATACAGTATAGTCCTGAGAAAGATCTAATTTTGATTGAAATGCTTTACTATAATAATTATGAATTTCCTAATAAAACGTTATTTTTGTTAAATAGACTGCTTGCCAAAAGCCCTTTATAATTTAATTTGAAAAATCGCATATCTTATGAAAGTTTATTCGATGTCTTCCAAACACATTGAAGACTGAGTGGTGTTTTTCTTTTATATATTTTAAATGAAGACTAGTAGTACTACTGCTTTATATCATAGGAGTATTTTAACCTACAAATTAACTCTGCTCATTTTAAAGTAATAATCCCATAGCAAAATGGTATACAAAATTTATAAATATTCAGGTTTAAAAATCAGATCACTATAGCTTTTGTGTTTTTATAAATAGGGTTCCGAAGATGGTTTGAAAGAAAAAAATGAAATAATTGCCCGACTAGAGGAAAAAACCAATAATATTACTGTAGCCATGAGGCAGTTGGAACAGAGGTACAGCATTTCCAGTCTTAGCTTCTTTTTTTCCTCCCCGCTCCCTCTTTTCTTTATCCAACTCTGATACCTGCCACAAAAACCATTAGGAAAATTTAGATTAGGACATCGTTTTTTTAAGCCCAGCAGAATTTTGCCTTTTTTTGTTTTGGTCGTTGCATGGAATCAAGTTGCTTTATATTAGGCCGATTCATTTGAACTTGCCATTTTATAGATTTTTTAAAAAGGCCTAATATCAGCAATTTCATGTGGCTCATTCTCTTATGTTACATAGAACAAATGCACAAATAAAAACCTCAAAAAAGTGAAAAACGAACTAAATCCATGGTGGAATTATCTCTAATTGATTTCCATGCATATTGATTGCCATTTACTTTGTCATTCACCATCTCTTTTATCTGAAGTCAGGCTTTCTGAGTTAGCAGTTTAATTGTTTCTTGAGCTAGGACCCTCAGCTCAACCCAAGAAATAATTTTGTTTAAATTGAATTGTTTTATATTGGCATTTTTCACTTTTATTGTTGGAAAATGTAATGTATTTCCATTGACCTGTCATGTTGGTGTCAACATATGTCTTATCATTGCTTTCTTTGAATCTACTTATGAAAACATAACTATTAATGGTTTATTGACATGAATATTCTTTTATTGACATCCTCTTTCTTCTTTTTTCTTTTTTGTTTCTTTATCCCCATTTTTACATTTTGGACATCTTTATTACCTTTTTCTGTCTTTGATTTCTGTCCATTCCATTATGAAGTGACAGTGATTTGTTAACTCAAACTAGGACAATTGCAATGTCATTGGTGAAATGTGCCAGCAGTGACACTCAGGACCAGTACAAGCTGGTCAAAGATATATCTTTCTGAAAAACACTTGTATTTAAACAGACTAAAAGAGAATCAAAAATTTTATAATATATTAAATAGAAAAGAATTTATGCTATTAAGTATTCTAAAAGGGTAATTAGGAACCCTGTACACTTCTTGATCAGCTGCTGTGGTAATATACTGCCATAAAGCAGAGCGGGTGCACTTGGATTTCCCAAAACACATCCCTAAAACGTTGTGCACAATGGCTGATTTGAGTATTGACCTTTGGAGGTCAGGATTTTCAAACGCAGTTTTACCTTTTAAGCTACTTTTTGATGGAAAATATAAAAATTGTTTAAAAATAAGTTAAACTTTGGTTTCACAATGTGTTGGCACAGATTTTTTTCCGCCATAAGTCCAATCTTTGCCTAATGGCTCTTTTACTGATTTTAAAATCTGTTTTAAAATAGTTTATAACCCAGATTGGCCATCATCTTATGCTTTAGCACTTCAAGTTTCTAGTTCCCCTTAGCCCTATTCTATGATAGCACAACTTCAAGGCCTACCTCACTCACTTTGACTTTTATTTTAGTTTTTGTAGCATTAGAGAAAAGCTTGGGCCTCCCATTCCCCCACCTTAATATTTTAAATTTAAGTTTAGATTTAGAGATAACTTGAATGTTACTCTCTTTTCCTTGAAAGTGGAATTTATACTTCTGAAATGTGTGGGGGTTGCCCCATTGGTATGGTTTTAAGGAAGAAAAGAAGAGGCAATTTTTTTGGTTAGTTGAATAGAAATTTCTCTTATGATTCTCTATAAGGAATTGATGTCCCTTGAATACTTGGGAGGTGTTTCTTATAAAAACATTGAAGTTAAATCTAAAAAATCCTAGATGACTGTAGGAGGTAGGGAGTAGAGCTAAGCACAGGGAGAAGCAATGATTTCTAATTAAAAACAGAAAAAAATGAAAATCACATTTTTAGCTAATTTTTAAAATTCATCAATGAGGAACAAAAATAATCTCTAGAGAATATTGCCAGCTAGTACTAAATTCTTTTAAATGTTAAAACACAAACACATTCAGTTTTGGCATAATTTCATAAATGCATAATGATCCTATAGGGAGGACTTGGCTATTATATGAAGTAATTGCAGATCTTTGCTCTTGGCCTTGTTAGCACACTTGATTCCTGGCATACACATCCTAATAGATAATATATAACAATGCGGCTTCTTCACCTAGTGTAGACGTGAGTACTATGCTTTTCATGGTTTTGTAAAAAGGCAGTAACACACCTATTATACTTTGAAAGTTGATTCATTATGCTCTACAAAAGTGGTAAAGGCTGTATTGCTTTGCATTGTTAATTATGAACAAGAAATAAAACATTTGAAGATAGTATTCTGGGCATATTATATGTTATATTGAAAAAAATCACAAAACAATTTCTAGACATTGTGTGGCTCTTTCACGTTTGAGTTTGTGAGTTTTCCCCCAAACTTTGTTTTCATTTAGAAATGTTTCTATTTCCCCATTTTTCTTTTATTTGTCTTCTTCACCCTTTTACACCCTAGTTCTAGCCTCAGTTTTACCCAAAGTTGATTTGAATTACACCAGATTGCAGCAAGCAGAGAAGGCGCAAATGGAAGCTGAAGATGAGGACAAGAAATATCTACAAGAGTGTCAGAGTAAATCCAACAGTCTGCAGAAACAAATCTCCCAAAAGGAGAAACAGCTGTGAGTACTTTGCTCTTAGAAACAAATACTTGTATTAACATAATTCCCATCCCTCAACCTCTGCTTTTTGCACGTATGGTAGAATACCTATATTTTTACTTATTTAATGATGCCATATAGATTGTGGAGTTCTTAAAAAATAAAAAAATTAGAAAACATACTTATGGTAAAACTTATGTTTTTACATCTGTTTCAACAGAGCACTTTCAACTGTCTTTCTTGCCTTCTTTCTCAGGGAGTTTTATTATTTCTGCTGTTGTTTAACATTAATCTAATGGCTGTTATGTTTCTAGATACTAAGTATAATAGGCCTTTGTAACTCCAAGGAACCTATATTATCAAAGAACTTGATGTTTTCTGAGAACATTTTTATTAGTACTTCATATGATAGACTTGTAGATAGAGTAAAAAAAGCCTTGTTACTGATGCATGGGGATAAAAGTGCAGGCTCCCCACGTGACCTCCATTAATACCACAGAAGCGGAGGAGGTGAGACAACTGGGAAGTTGTAAAAGCTTGGACTCCCCATTTGGTCTTCTCTGAAATCACCACAGTGGGGATTGGGAGGGACATTATTGCCAGGTGAGGAAGGAAATTTAGGATCCCCACTTGGCCTTTGCTGACAGTGATCAGGAGGCCAATGTTTTTTTTCCTCTGGTGTTTTGATGGAATAGGGCATTTATTGTCAAAAAGATTTCTATTATGTTAGGTAGGATGCCCTTTCTCAGCTCTTTGGCAACAGAAAACATACCTTTCTTGGGGCTTTATTTTGGTTTATGCTCATTGCTCTTTGTGAGTTGCAGGTGGCCTCAAAACCCAGTCTCAGCTATATAGGAGGCAAAAAAAAAAACCTCAGAGAACTCATCACCATGTTATTTCTTGAGTCCTGGGGTTTTTAGCTGGTCTGCCATTGTCTTTCTGCTTTTCAGAATCTTCTTATTTGTTTACATATAATGTCCAATGTTTTTTAACAACTTAGTTGGAGGGAGAGGTAGAAATATATTTACTCCATCTTGTCCAGAACCAAAATTTTAAGTTCTTTTTAAATCTACCACAAAAATAGCATTTTGAGAAATTGGTATATAGAATAAGGCTTTAGGGCAGGGAATGTTACCTTGGTTGAAAACTAACTCTCCCCAAAGAAAAAAAACACTCAGCAAATATTTTCTTTTAATTTTAAGACTTTCACAAAAGGACAGCCAGTACTTTTAGGGCTCCCTTGGCAACAAAAATCATGAACGTTTAAGTCAACAAGTTTGTTAATGATGCCAAGGGTTTTGTTGTTTAAGTCCCTGTGCCCTGCCAAATGAAAAACAAGAAAAGCCAGACTGGGACACAGCCAGGCACTAGAATACAATCTTGAAACCTAGGGATTCTGTTACTGAATCACTTTTCTAGAGATTGACAGACGTGTTGGTAAGACAAATCTGATATTTATTCTGCAGTGGTGCAGCTATTTGATCCCTCCTCAAAAGGATGACCTAAATAATGCTACAGGTACCTGGCCCTTTCCTATAGGGCTAACCTACCCATTAAGAGACTAGGGTGGCAGAGTTTGTTCAAATTGAAACCATGAAAATAATTTTGTCTCTCATTTGGTGCTATTTTGGTCGAGCATGAATGTGTTAACAATTTGGAGATCAGGAAGAATTTTTGATGGCTCAGAAAAATTGGAACCATTACTGTAGAAGTGGGCAGTTGAGACTTTTTCGATGAATATTCTTATTTATTTATTTATTTTTGGTATTGCATTATTTTGGTATTTTATGTTTTTAGAAAGAGGATCACGCTGCATACTCTTTAGTGTCTTATTATATTGACTATATCATGGACATTGCATCATATCAATTACTGTAGGTCTACACCATTATGTCACGGTTAACCTAAATGAATCCTTTAGCCTGAAAAATTGTGCTTTATTTCTTGAATTTGTATCTTTGATTACTAGTGATAGCTTGCATTTCTTTATTTTTGTGAATTGCCAGTTCATATTATCTATTTTTTTCCTCTGGGGTGTTCAGCTTTCTAATATATATTTGTAAGAGCTCTTTATTTACTGTTTATTTATTTACTATTAAACTTTGTTCATCGTGGTTTTTTCATTTATACATTTTAAATTTTTATATAGTTATATTTTCCTTTTTTTACCTTTATAATTTCTGCTCTCGGTGGTCAACATGCACTTTGATAGTATATTTATAATAACTTAAAAGCAAAATTTTTCTTTACTTTTTTACTCATTGTTTTCTGAATCTGGATGATGAGGCCACTCAGCAAGGAACTCTCTACTTTTTCATTGTCTCTCTGTATTTCTTTTAAATTTTTAGTGAAATAGTATTTATCAACAATTTATAAATTCCATTTTGAGATATTTCTTTTCTTCAGCCAAAACTATAAATTTAAAAATTTACTTCACTGAAAAATAATGTCGCCGTAAATGCTAACTTTATGAGGAAACAAAAGTTTTAATGTAATATTTCCAGTATTATGATATATTGCAATTAAAATGTAATGTAATAGGAACTGTAGCATTATTAGTACATGCCTCACTTGTTATACCTACTTGTGAGCAATAATTATCAAAATGATTTTTTTTGGTCGTCATAAATGTAAGAATTGGATTGCTTTTGTTTGCCATCTACCACCTGTTGTAAGAATGATAAAGAAGTGCTTTCAAATATGAACTGGCATTTCTAGCCTGTGGATTTTCCCCCAGTGTCTCCTTGGTCTTACAATTGTCCTGTAATTGGTCAGCTTCCAACAGTAACCTGCAAAGTAGCTCTTTGAACTAACTTTTCTGTTACTGATGTTAAATTGATTTAGTGGTGACTGTAATACTTATATGAGAACAAGACTTTTCATTAGTTCGTAGTATAATTTCTCACATGGCATAGAAATGTAATTAAAACCCCACATTTCTCTCCTCGATTCCATTCCCAAAATGTATCCAGTTTTTATAGTATAGTGTTCCCTTCCAGGCATTTTCTATGCGTATATAGCATTTATGTATACAGAGTTAATAAATGACATAAATTATTGTTTAGCAAGGAGTTCTTGTGGTTGGCAAATAAACTGATACTTTATGCTGCTAAATTTGCTTACCAAAAAATATTTATGAAAGAAAATATCAGCAGAAATGAATTATAAAGACAAAAGTCATCAAAAAGATGCTATTATTAAAGAATACAAACAATTGTCATATAAAAAATAGCACTGAGTTTCTGTTTATTGTTTGTCATTCAAGGGTGCAACTGGAAACCGATTTGAAGATTGAGAAGGAATGGAGGCAGACTTTGCAGGAAGATCTTCAAAAGGAGAAAGATGCCTTATCTCATCTTAGAAATGAGACCCAACAAATCATTAGTCTTAAAAAAGTAAATGGTGGTAAAACTTTTAAAATTACATTTTAATGAAAGTTATTTAAAAAGAATCAGACCATAATTTTTATATTTATTCCAAGGAAATAGAATATACTAGTTATCTTTAAAAATGCCAGTAAGGAGATTAAATGAATGAAAAATGGATGATATAAAAGAGTAGCTCTGAAAAAGCTTTGGACATTAGTTCTGTTTTCTTATATAAAAAGCTAAAGAATTTTGTTTCTAATTAACGGTATGTATACAATGTGGAGTTTCTTGTTTCTTTTTTTTTAAATTGTGTTTTCTGTTATTTATTGTTTCAAAGGAGTTCCTTAACCTCCAGGAGGAAAATCAGCAGTTGAGAAAAGTATATCATGAACAGGAACAAGCTCTTCAGGAACTTGGCAACAAACTTAGCGAGTAATTTCTCTTTTTTCCTTCAACTAAGTAGTCATTGATTTTTATAAAGGTATGAGTGTGCCAAACCAAATAGGCAGAAAAGTTTAAACATGGAAAAGACATGAACTATTAAAGCCAAACAAAAGCTTTAAAGATTAACAAATAAGACTGTAAGTTGGAGAGATTTTTTTAAAGTTATGTTCATTTTATTATATCTTAGCTCTGAACATTTTTCTAGATGACAGCTAAGACTCTTGTTTAATTTCTTAAAATCAGAGAATTCATAACTTCATTTAATATATATTTTCTCAGAACAACAGAAGCCAAATTTTCAAAATATCTGCAGAGAGCTTTTTCAGTGTTTTGAGAGGGAGCCAACATTGTGAGAAGTGAAGGGTGTTTTACTCCGACTGGATAGAGTAGGGGCTTAACTTTGTATGATGTGGGCGGTTCTATTGTATTGAAGTGTTACTGGGTTTCTATAAAGACAAGAACGAGAAATGGTGTTTCTTACAGTTTCCTCCTTGTTCCAAGTGGTGTGTGTTTTGCTAATGATGGGATTCCATTAAAAAGTCATGAGTCCAGTTTCCAAGGACATAGAAGAGAGTAGTTCACTAAAACTACAGAAGAAGTTAGTATTCAAAAAGATAACATTTTTGTTTCTACAAATTCGAAGAATGATTTGCATTGTGATTCTGATAAGCAGGATTTTGAATCTTATCTGGCATCAGTTTATTGAGCACTTGGAGCCAGACCCTGTGCTAAGTGCTTATTACCTTATTTCCCATTTCTTCATTTGAGAAATACTTATTGAGTCTTTACTATGTGCCCAGCACTGTTCTAAATGCCAGGGACTCGACAGTGAAAAAATATATTTACATTTATTAAGATCATGAAGGTTTAATATTAAAACAGAATAGTAGAACATGGACTGTGTATTATTTTTCACCCACCATCCACTAAATACTAGAGATTGCCCAGATAGCTGAATTCAACCTTTTGTTTTTTCCTTTAGTCTGGTTCATTGTTTCTCAAATTTTAGTTCGCATGAAAATTACCGCTCAAGGTTAGATATACTCAACAATCTGTATTGAACTTTATGGACTATTTAAGGAATTTTCAAGAGTTAATTTGACTACTGAATTTTTCCATTGTATACCTAGTCCCTGTGTAACTCAACTGTGTGCATATTCTTCTGCAGTTTATGTTTTTACTTAAGAATATGTGTTAGAAGTTTCTCCTTATCAGTACATAAAGATATTTCTTAGAATGTATGTGCTATAGTCTGTTTCTAGTTTTTTTCTTTTACGACCAGTAGTGATGCTAACATCCTTGTATGTACATGTTGATATATCTTGATGTACTTTAATGAGTATATCTGAAGAGTAAGTTCCTAGAGGTGATTGCTGGGCCAAAAAGAATGTACTTTAAAAATTTCAATAGTGCTAAATTACTCTCCACCTCTAGTGTTATAACATAACCCCCTCTTCAGAAGTAGGAGAGTGTGCCTGTTTTTGCCAGTCTGATAATTGAAAATATTTTTTGATTTGTATTTCTTTAACCATGAGCAGGGTTGAACATCTGTATTTGTGTTCTGTTTGTATTTGCAATTTATTTTTTGTAAACTGGTCGTATCCTCGGCACATTTTTTGCTTGGATTGCTCACCTTTTTATTGTGGGATCTTTGTAAATTGTTGTACACAGTGTCCATCTTTTTTTTACCCAGTTTTTCATTTGTCTATTTACTTCATTTATGATATGTTTTTTCCTTGCCGATGTTTGATTTTTTATGGTACCATTTTATTAGTTTTCCTTCACTGCTTTGAGACCCATAGTCCATAAGACATGGGTAGGGCCAATCGCGAGTCAGAACATATTCTTTCTCAACTCTGGTTCTCTTCTGCAGTGACAAGAATTTAATCAGGGTTGGAGAAGGGACAAGTGGCCCTATGAATTTCTCCAGACTGTACCAGTTTATCTTCTGAAACACTTTTATTCCTCTTCTTTATCTTCCTACTCCTGTGATTATATATCAGATTGAAATTCAGCAAAAACAGATTCCTAATACACAAGATGAGATTAAAAATTTGGGTCAATACTTTTTTTTTTAGAAAAAAATTTGGGGGGGAAGTCAGTACTTTTTAACTTTCGCTTCCAGTTAATGAGGCTTTTTGTAGACATTTGGGTGTTATTTAAAATGAGTAAAGAGGGGTGGTCGATGGCCATGCTACTCTGAACATGCCCAATCCTGTCTGATCTCGGAAGCTAAGCAGGATCGGGCCTGGTTAGTACTTGGATGGGAGACCACCTAGGAAGACCAGGTGCTGTAGGTGTAAAAAACCAAATAAATAAATAAAAATAAAATGGGTAAAGGGCGTCAAATATGTGGTGACAGAAAGAAATCTAACTATGGGAGGTGAACACACAGTGTAAATATATATATATACCTTACTGTTAAAGTGTACAGCTGAAACTTATTGGATTTCGTTAACCAGTGTCACCATAAAAATAAATTAATTAATTAAAATGGGGAGTGGGAAAGAAAAGGTTATATATAATAATATGAAACATTTAATTTTGTTAAAAGAGGACATTAATATTTCAGAAAGAATAGTTTTTAAACTTACCATTTGAAATTTGCATTTTCAAGTTATGACTAAATTTAAAAATTAGTATTCATTAATGTCACAGGAATTAATATACTACCATTTCTGTGTGACTTAGGGGCATTTATTTAACTTCTTTAAGCCCATTTATCTATTTGTAAATCAGAGAGTTATAAAATCCCCACAGAGTTCTTTTTCTAATTAACTGAGAATAAGTATGTTAAAGCAGTGGTCCTCAACCTTTTTGGCACCAGGGACCAGTGCTCCTGTTAGAATCTAATGCCTGATGATCTGAGGTGGAGCTGGGATGGCGATGCTAGTGCTGGGGAGTGGCTGCAAATACAGATGAAGCTTAGCTCTCTGGCCTCCTGTTCACCTCCTGTTGTGTGGCCTGGTTCCTAAGAGGCCATGGACAGGTACCGGTCCACAGCCCAGGGGTTGGAGACCCCTGTAAAGCACTTAGCACACTGCCTTTCCTGATAGCAACCAAAATATCAGTTTTCTTGTCTCTAAGATGAGCAGGTTGGATCTGAAAACTATTTTCCAATGCTTACATTCTGAACCTGTAACTTTAAATGTAAATGATTAATTTAAATTAGGAAGATACTTTTAATGGCAGAAAGGCTTTATTTTTTATTTTATTTTATTTTAATTATTTTATATTATATTATATTTTTAGGCAAGGCAACCTTTGGTTGACCTCACAGATTACAAGGACCTTGTCAGTTTACAATCTGTTATTTTTTTATTTTTTTATTTTTATGCCTACTTCCTAGGTCGTCTCCCATCCAAGTACTAACCAGGCTTGACCCTGCTTAGCTTTGAAAGGCTTTAAATGTTATTCTTCTAAATAAATTATAATTGTAGTAGACATTTAGGATTAAATAAATGAAAATGAACCCTTCATACTTGAAGAAAACATGGAACATATGAAATATTAGGGTGGAATATTCAAAGAAGAGAATCTAGAGTAATTAATTTGTATTATAATGACTAATAGTTTAAAATACATGAAGGATGATAATCAGATTTTTCCTTATCCTCATCAAGGCTTAAATTCCAACAAGAATTTTTTAGTTTAGAAAAAGAAGTTACCAGGACTCCTCTAAATGTAGTATTCTATAAATACTATTCTTTCCATATAATTATACTTTTTTGTTTTTCTTCCCCCTCAAAAGCAGCTGTTTTGGGATTATCAGCGGCTTGTTACATTTTATGGATGTTTTCCTATAGTGTCCTAATTGATCGTATCGCATTTATTATACTTGCATATTTTATTTTGACCCTTCTCTATGCTGTTTTCATGCCATGGTCAAATATTTTCATACACTTAAATACATGTTCCTAAATAAAAGCAAATTATAATATTGTATGTCAACAATTTAAAAATTAAAATTAAAATATTTTTTTAAAAGCGAATTAAAATGAATAATATAGACATGTGTTTCCTCCCTGTCTAGGATAAGGAAAGTGTTCTTGACCATTGCGTTTATTGGAGCTGTAACTGATACCCCCTTCTTTATGATACTTTGACAATTTGTATCAGAAGAGGCAGGCTTTTTAGAGTCCATATTTGTGAACAAAGGTATTTTAACCAGTATTAACAACCAGTAAATTTCATAAAGTATTTTTATAGTGAATGCTATTAAGCTACATTCATTCCATATTCAGTTTTTCTGTGTAGCACAGTTACTGTTTTGGCTACTACTCCCACCTGAATCAGTTTTCCTTTGGCACATTTTGTAGATATGAATTCAGCCAAGAAAATTTGATTATTCTAATATTTTTACACTATGTAATTTTACATTGACTATTCCCAATGTAAGTCAGTATGAGCCAGAAAAAGACTAACACTTTGTTTTTATGTCTTGCACAAAGAGTATTTTGTACAGTGAAACAAGTTCCTAATGTTCTACTTCGGTAGCAGAGACTTTAGTATTTTATGTACCTTTATTTTTTTTTCTCCCCCTCTTTAATTCCACCACCGCCCCCACCACCGCCCCACTTCCACCTCTGACCTATGGATGTTGCCATTTTCCCTTTTTTAAGAACTGGATCTCTGAAGGCGGGGCGTCTCCTCCCACATGCTCGTGTACTGGGGCCTGGTGTGCCCGGGGTATGGTCCGTGGCTCCACCTGGGGCGCAAACCCAGGACCTTCTGCGTATAAAGCAGACATGCTAACCACTACACTGTGGAGCCACCCCTGTTATGTAACTTTTGATCCAATAATTTCATTTCTAAATTGTTCTAAGAAAAATCCAAAAGTTTTGGTTATTCCAATTTTAATGAATACTTTCTATGGCAAAAATTTTGAAACAAGTTGAAAGTTTAGTAGTAGAAAATTATATAAACTATATTCTTTTTCATGGTATATAATTGTAACCATTTAATATAATGACGTGGCAGATAAGTCAGTACCTCTGAGTCTTTAAGTATATATTGTTAAGTGAAAAGAGTTGTCAGTATGATTCCATTTAAAATACACCACTCAGTGACATGTAGAGATGATCATCTCTGGGTAGTGGGATCACAGGTAATTAAATATTACTATTTATAATCTCTGTATTCATTAACATGTATTTTCAAAAGGTTAAAAAGTATTACAACTGTATTTTAATGTTTCTACTTTTTGCATCTGCTAGACAAATAGTGTGCATAATGGTTAGCATGTGTGGGCTTTGGGGTCTCACAGACCAGGGTTCTCCCGGTTACCACCTCCACTTCTTGTTACAAGTGACTAAACCTCATCAAGCCTCACTTTCTTCATCTTTAAAATAGGTTTTTTTGAAGATTAAATGAGATTATGTGTACAAAGTTTATAGCATAGTGTCTAGCAGAACAAGCCAACAATAAATGATACCTATTAATATTGTCATAACCACATGAAAATGCCAATATTCTTTCCTTAAAAAAGCAATTTTAAAATTTAAAAATTACATTTTTGCTTTCGGACATTTAGAAAATATAGGAAAATATAATACCATTAGCGAAAGAAAATCATTAGAATTATGTACTTTATACAATTTTATATCCTGTGAAAAAGCAGTTCTTTTCTGAATTACTAGATGTTATGTATTAAGATATAGGTACTGAAATTTGGGCCTATTTGTAATCTTTTTAGATCAAAACTTAAAATAGAAGATATAAAAGAAGCCAACAAAGCATTGCAGGTGAGTAGAAAGTGTTTTCCTCAAATAGAAAGAGATCTGTGTGAATGAAAGTCTTCAATAGAAGATAAAGCTGTGTATAATCTCTCAGTTATTATCGAATCCCAGGATTTATAGAGATAGAAACACTGAATTGGGGAACCTGGGTGATGGGGATCCAGCTCTTCCCTATCCTTTAGAATCACATTAATAATCTTAGTGTTAGAAATAATTTTGTGTATTTTCCTACAGAGTGTGGCATGATAGAGTGAAATTGCCTTTGAATTTGAGAATCCTTGAGTTCCTATGCCAGTCTATTACTGGTATTTGACCTTCAGCAAGTCACATACCCACTAGTAGTCTGTTTCCTCTTCTGAAATGGGCTTACAATTTTGCATAAGGTTGCTTTGAATATTGGGTAGGTTAATATATGTGAAAGTGATTGGTACATTTATCAGTTATTTGGTTCTGAACGTGTCTGGGTGGAAGGATCCCTTTTACAACCTAGGCAAAAATAGTCTCTGTTTGAATACTTCAGTGACAGATGGTTTCCTCCTGCACAAGCTACACATTTTGTTTTTCTATCACAGTGTTACATGAAAATAATTTTAAAAGCCACATAGTGCCAGAAAGACTTAAATAATGGTAGCAGCCTCTTGTTCTTGACTCCCTTGTTCCTTATCCACTCCAATTCCTTCCATCTGAAGGGAGCTATTTTAAATTCTTTTAGTTATTTCTTGCATTTATCCCTCTATTTCTAAGTAATACTGCTTGCTCTTAATTTACTTAAGACTTATCTATTGCCTGGTTTAACATGGTGGATGAGTTTTGTGGACTCTCACCCTGGTCTTTTCACTGTCCTCCCAGTATAATTAAGTAAAAATTTTCTTGGAATTCATTTACCGTATATCATTATGACTATTTAAATATTATTCTTGCTGGACCTGGTAGTATGCTGTGGTTATATTTTCTTTCTTTCTTGAACTACTTTTTATTTCCTCTGGAGGAAATTTTTGTTGTTGTTTAGGTATATTTGAACATCAGTGTTTTCTTATACCTCTATAAAATGCTTCTTGATTAAAGTTTTTCACATGGTAAAATCAATGAGGTAATTGGTTAGTTCTTTTTTCCTTGGAATCATCATTCTTGGAGTTCTGTGCTCTCCTCTGCTCCTGTGTGGTCACCACTGTCGTGACATTTCCCTTTTCCCTTTTCATGTTAAAACTCCTGGTAACTTAAACCTTGTAACTTCTTGGTTTACTCCCTCGTTTTGGTCAGTGTATCCTTCAGCAGCTTCCTGAAAAGTGGTGAATGAAGATAAAGACTTCAAGAATGTGCATATGTACATATACTTTTATTTTGCTCTCACTTTTTTAGATGGTAGGGATTTTTGCCCAACTGTCATTAAACTAAAATTTTTTTCACTGTTAAATATTTCATGTGTACAAGAGAGACATACAGTACAACTTAAAAATACTGGCATACTCTCTGCTTTAGTTTATAATGGAACATGGTACTCCGTGATTGCATTCTCTTCCTTATAGTAACAATCTTCTACTTTGTGTTAATCATTGTTTTTTATAGTTTTATTATTCATGTCTACCTTCAATAAAGTATCTACTCGGAGAAAGGGGGAAGGGATAAAGAAATACAAATTATTAGTTGATAGATGGTCACGGGGATGGGGAACACAGTATAGGGAATGCAGTTAGCAGCAATGTAATATCTAGGTGTAGAGCCAGAGGGAAGCTACAGTAATCGGGGGGATTGTTTCATAAACTATATAAGTGTCTAACTGATGTACTATATACTAGAAACTAATAATAAAATAAAATGCTAAAAAATCGATACCAAAAATATCTAGATTTCCACGTTTTCATATGTATGAAAATATATTTACATGTTACTTTTCTTTTTTGTCTTTGCTATTGACCAGTTACTGGGTCTGGGAAAGCTATCCTGTGGTTTATTGTGTTCTGGATTTTATCTGAGTGCTCGTTTGTAGTAGTCTTAAACTTCTTCCACTATGTCCTTATTGCCTGTAAACTGGAAGTTACATCTGAAGGCTTATGCAACCTCAAGGTACAACCTTCTGTGAAACTTAGTTCTGCTACCATATCCAGCAGGCTCTTATTTGCTCCCTTTTCCTTTTTAAAATAGCTCTTTAAAGTTTTCTTTTGCTACTGCCATTCTGTATTTCTTCTGAATTTTATTCTTGGGTTTGTTTCTTTGGCTGAAATACCTCATGCCCAAGTCATTCCTCAAATGTTGAGTAATCCTAGTTTTAATAAAAGACAAAGTCTTGGAAGCCCTGTATGTGATGGCTGCGTGGAAGGTGTGTGCGTGTGGAGGGAATTCTTGTACACTGGTAGGCTGTAGCATAGAGAAATCTGTGAATTAGCAAATTGTTAGGTACCCTCTCTAAATGTATCTACAGGACTTTTCTCTGGGGCAGTTCAGTTTCTCCAGAAAAGGATCCTCTAATATCCTGTCTGGGGAAACGGAGAGGGAGGGGTATAAATTGGGTGGCTGACATTATGGAATTAGAGAAAAATAGCCATTTGTTTGCAGAGCAATAGCTTGCTTGCTTCTAGTCTTAGTTCTGCTTGTAAACAGCTGTGTTTCCTTAGGAAGCAACTTTAGCTCTCTGGACCTCATTTTCTTATTTGTAAAATGAGAGCTGTAGGTACTGATCTGAGATCCCTTCCATCTGACATACTAGACTTAACCTAGAGTATATAACTTTTCTCCTTGGGAGATGGGCAGGGGAAATTCAGTCAAAATAAGTTTGGAGGGCCCAGCCCTGATGTCAGAAAGGTTATCTCTGAACCTAATGATGTTGCTTGGAACTGTTTCATATCTGGCTCTCCAACCCTCACAAAGCTAGGCAACAGCTTCCACTAGGTGGCTTTGGGACATTTAGCAAGTCCCTTTTCTTTTTATGGTGTTGAAGTTTGGTTAGATTACTTAAGGTCCCATATCTTGCTTTAAAAAAAATTCAAGTCATCTGATTTTTTGCTGGTGTTTGTCTGATACAAGCTGTCTAGTTTAAGCCTTCAGTTCTTAAAATCCTGTGTTCTAAGAAGGCTCGCTGCCTCAGCAATAAACCAACACCATTTCTTACTTTTGCTAACAGGTGCTAGTTATTAAAACAAAAATACCTGAAATTAACCTTGTGATTTTTGTCTGTGAATGCTGTTTTTTCATCTTTCTTCAAAGAATTGTTAGAAAAGTCTTTTAAGAAAACTCAGGTTCTTGAGAATGTATCTGTGGGCTTTGGATAAATTTTTTTTCTCATTAGGTGATAAAGGTCCTTATGCCTCAAAGGTACTTCATAGGTAGCACTTGTTCCACTTCTTGAGCTGGATGCAGTCATACTTGGTTCTTTGGAAGTAGCAGCAATGTGGCTTACTTAGTTCAAGTGTGATGAGACTAATCAGGAGCAATGAGGATTCTTCCTTCACTTGAGTCTTTTCATTATAAAACATAATGAAACCATCTAACAAAGTTGCTTTCATAAGGAAAAAATGCTTTTTAGCCAGAATCTTGGTTCGCTAAGAATGGGTCAAGTTAGAAATTTTAACTCCCACCTGTTTAAGACTTTCCATTTTCTACTGAGCTATTACATTTAAGAGAACTTGAGGGAAATTAATAGCAATGTTAAACTGAATTTAAGGTGAAGTCTTACCTAAAATAATGAACTCAAACATCTGATTTCCAAATTCTCTTCAAATTTTAGGGAATTTACTTCATATAAGTTATATATAATGCCAAACTGAAATGCATTTCACATAGTGAAAATTTATCCTTGAAAATGTTGTTGGATTGGATAATCTTTAAAGTTTTCCTTAAAGAGAATTCCCATCAGTAACATATTTTTATTTTTGAAAAACATTTTATCATGGAAATGTTCAGACATACAATTATAGAGTAAAACAATTACCTAGTTTCAATATTTATCAATATATGGCCAATCTTGTTTTATTTATATTCAACCCACATCCCTTTTCCCTCACCCATATTATATTGATCTACAACTATGTATCTCTCAAAGAAAAAGGACCATTTTTGATTCATCTCTATAGTCCTGTAAAATGTTCTTAAACATGTTTTTCACGTGATTTTTAGTGTGACCAATTTGAGCATTAATATTTATACTTTTCCTTCCTACTAGGGACTGGTTTGGTTGAAAGACAAAGAAGCAACACATTGTAAGCTTTGTGAAAAGGAATTCTCTCTCTCCAAGAGAAAGGTAAGGGAAATAGGAAGTGAGTCCAAATTTTAGTGCAAATATGGCTTCTAATTTTATTCATAACTTTTTTTTTTCTGATTTTTCCAATAGCACCACTGTAGAAACTGTGGGGAAATTTTCTGTAATGCTTGCTCTGACAATGAACTGCCTTTGCCTTCTTCACCAAAGCCTGTACGGGTTTGTGATTCCTGTCACGCATTGCTGATTCAGAGATGCTCATCTAACTTGCCGTAAGATGCCAGAACTAAAATCCTTATTGTATGAAAGTACCTACGATGAATGTTATATATGAACATATATACATCTTAAGACACTTCTTAAGCAGCTTTCAGCCAGTATTTGTAAGTTTTATCTTCCACATATTCATGGGAATTAGAAGTTGTATAATTTGATATTTCCTCTCCATTCAAAGAATTTTCAACAGGGCATGCTTTAAAATAAATTTAGCTTACTTCATGTAACAATCATGTAACTCTTAATGAAAATGAAAGGCCAGATAGCATAGCTAACACATTTGCCTTATTTTTTAAAGGCCTTCTTAAAAATAGGGCTTCAGATTTATTCTCCAGGTTGTCGTTGGTATTTGTGGTGCCTGTAATTTTCTTAATGCACTTAAAGCTTTATGGTTCTCAGAGAAAGACTGGAAATACATAAACTTTTTATTATAAGTATTAATATTCCAATTCAGATTTTCCATTAGCTTGGTATGATTTCATGTTGACTTTATTTGCCCATTTTCCATTAGAAAAGGCCAATATTTTATCCTGTACAATTTCCTTTTGGTCTTTCTCCTAAAATCAATGTACTTGCTGATAGTAGATAAAAGAGATATTGCTTCAGCTTTTTCCTTATTTTGAAAGGAAGTTAAACCATCATCCTTTTATCCTGTTGCTACTTGCAGATTTTTCTAACTTTTAAGAAGCATTAATTACATTGTAGTAGTCTACTATTGCAGTATATGAATAAATGATTCACCATATACTGAGCACTCTAAGCCAGGGTCTTTAGTAGATGAATATATAGTCTCAGCCCTGCCATGAAATACATACTTGAAATCATTTCAGTAAACACTAATCTTGTTATATAGCACACTAAGAATTTAATCTGTAAAGTTACCTTTAATCACTTGAATGGCACTACCACTCGGGACCTACTTTTCCCCTTTTAGTCCAATTTCAGCTACTCACTAAGCCTGTGAACCTTTCAAACAGTGAATCATGGCCATCACCCCACCCTCTAAAGATGGGGTTATTCTGCAGAATCCTTTCCTCAGTGAAGTACATATTTTAACTTTTGAAATTATTAAAACGTTTTATTTGAAGATTTTCTCCATAACCTAATTCGGTGTCTTCATTTAGAATCGATGAGGTTTTTAGGTGGTCTTTCTCAAATGCTGACAGAAATGTTATCAAGAAGTATGTATATATTCTTGAACTGTTTTGTATTGAGATGGGATAACATTTTTATGATTGCTGAAAATAAGCAAAAATGAGAAACTTCAAATACTAAAAGTATTTTATTACTGTGCTTAGAACAAATTTTAAAATGTCATTTTTTTGTTTAAATTCCAAGGCTGGTTTCATTCAACCAACCATGAATTTTATCCCCTTTTAAATTCTTTGCCATTCAACTCATGTGTCACCATTGATTTGGGCTTTTTGTAGGCAAGCTTTTGACAGCAATATAACTTGCTTTTAAAAATTCTCGCTTAAAAAACAACATAGTAATTTGGGATTTCGTGATTATGAACCTATACTTTCACTTTTCAAGTAAGATCTGCCCTCACTGAAAGTATCTTAATAAACTTCACATACCATTCCCTCATCTAGCTGTCATGGTGCCAAGGAATTGTGATTGTGTTTCTTTTACCCTGCAATGTTTTAAAATGTGAGTTTTATAGACTAAATAAAAGATTTGAAAAATTAGCCTGCTTTAGAAAAGCAACTTTCATTTTAAACACTTTATATTTTTACTGCTTGATTTTAATAGGGTACTCCTGGGAAAATAAAAGCACAAACTTTTAAAAAAAGGTAAGTGGTATGAGTGTAATATATAAGGGAGTGGGTACAGGCATTAGAATCCTTGCTTGAGTTGATAGGCTTTATATAGGCCCAATAGCAGAAACTAGTCCTTAAGAGTTACTTTGTCTAATTGTCCTTAAGAGTTACTTTGTCTAATTTGATTTATAATCAGTAACTGACACAAAGCATTCTAGGACGCCATACTATTATCTCCCACATTGTATTTATTACATTAATAACATTTCTAGCAAAAACAAGTTAACAAGTTCAATAACTGTGAATTCACATTAACAGGTTTCATTTTGATCCATTAGCCAATTTGGGGAAAAGCCATATTGATCAAAGGGATTAAAAATAAAAAGCACCTTTTCCTGGCTACATATAGTACTTTTTTTTATTTTTTTTTTAACACAATAGCTCTAAAAACTCCAGATATCAGATGCAAAATCCAACTGGACTCTCATTTTAATTGACAACATGGACTCATCTTACATTTTATAATGTATTTATACAATTATTAAAAAACCATATGCCTTAAACTATTGGGCTGAAACTGAAAATACATCTGTGAGAATTATACTCCACAGTAAATACCTTTGTACGTGTACTGAATTCTCATGTCACTGAGAACCTTAACCTAGTCTAAGACATTTTGAGATAACTTACAACTATCACTTTTTGGAAACATTTTTTGGTATTTCAGTCAAGTGCTGAGGGGATTTTTATTCTAAAATCTAGGGCTAAAATTTAAACTTCCAACACTCCTGTTCCCAGGTAACACAATTATGAATATTCAGAAATTCAGATACCTTAGATTAACACTTCAGAGCTATGCTTGATAAGTGACATTTGAAAAAGATGAATATATAATTAGCTGATTTATACTCCTGAAGCTATCTAAACTCATCTTTATATTTACAGTATTGTCCAGGAGAAATTAAAGAAAAAGTTACACTAATTATTTTCCAAGCTCTATTCTGGATGTCTGCTTAATAAAGACTTGTAGTTTATGCAGAGGCGAACCACTGTCCTCTAAAATTATGCTGTACTACTACTCTTAGAGCTAATAATAAAATACATTAACCCAAATCTTATGAAAGCAGCACATCCTCTGGAGTAACTAGTATATAAAAAGTATCAACATCAGTGGTTTGAATATAAAAATTTATTTTTAAGTCAAAGTATGCAACAAATAAAACCTACAGAAAACAGATTCCCATCACAATCTGTTGCTTTACCAAATAATATTTTGAAAACACATTCCTTCAGTCATTATAAAGTTCTTAAAATACAAAAGAAATTAAATCCGTAAGAAAGTCTAGTAGACCAGATGCTGTTGTCAGGACTTTTAGGTTGGTGGTTATGCTTTAATACATCCCACGCCATCCACCTCCACTCATGCCACCTTGTCCGTAGTAACCTCCACTGCCTCCACCACCACGGCCTTAGAAGAAAAAAGATGTTGAGAATTGTTTAGTAGAAAATATCAACACAGTACATATTAAAAACATGAACTTTGCCCCACATATGGGGACTAACAAACTGAATGAGAGGAACCAATGATACTTACCATAACCACCCAAGCCATCGGGAGTACCATATCCTCCACTATAATTGTTCCCCATTCCCATTCTTCCAACAGATCCATAACCTCCCTGATTATCTTTAAAAAAAAAAAGAAAAGAAAAAAAAGTGTTTGAGATTGATTGCTAAGTGTCTAACTCTGCTTATTTAAAAAAAATTTACATACCCATTCCATCTCTGCCGTAGCCTCCCATTCCAGAACCTCCCATTCCAGAGCCACCTCCAGGAGTAGAATTCAAGAAGAGTTCAATGTATCGATGTTCTTTACG